GTGGGATCTGGGTACGACAGTGTCGGTGAAGATGTGAGCGACTGCTTCATCTGCTCGAACGCCTGCTGCTGCGCTAGACCCCAATCGAAATCTACTCCCTTCCGAAGTAGGTCGGTGAGTGGACTAAACGAAACGACGGTATTAATTCGCAAATCCGAGAAAGCTCTGCAGTTCCTTGACTGAGGTCGGAGCTACCCAATCCTGCACTGCTGCGATCTTCTTCGGGTCGGTCCTAATGCCACTAGCGGATACGACGTGACCTAGAAACTCGGCCTTGGGGAGGATGAACTCGCACTTCGACTGCTTAGCGTACAGCTGCTCCCTCCGCAAGACCTCGAAGACCTTCTGCAAGTGTTGCACGTGCTCCTCCTTCGTTTTCGAGAAGATGAGGATGTCTTCCACGTAATCTACGACGAACGGCCCTAGGAACTCAGAGAGGACGGTGTTCATGAGTGTCTGAAACGTCGCCGGGGCGTTGGTCAAACCGAACGGTAGAACCTTAAATTCGTACAACCCCTGCTTCGTACGAAACGCCGTCTTGTGCTGGTCTTCTGGAACTACGCGAATCTGGTGGTAACCCGAACGAAGGTCAATTTTTGAGAAGATTCTAGCGCCTTGCACTGCATCTAGGAGATCATCTACTCTCGGCACCGGAATTCTGTTCTTGACGGTGGCGGCGATCAGTGCACGGTAATCTATGCACATCCGTAACCCTCCGTCTTTCTTGGGTGCGAAAAGGATCGGTGCTGCCCAAGGCGTTCTAGATGGCTGTATGAACCCCTACGCGAGAAAGTGCCTAAGGGTGGCGGCGGCGGCGGTTACCTCTGGGTGCAGACTGGGCCACGCCACAGCCGCCCCTGTGACCACCACCACCCCCCGGGTCTGTGCTTTTCGCAGCTCACCGACCGCTGCCGCGCGCATTTTGGCTGCAGCGCCACTGTCCCCGACTGGGCCTCACTGCTCCGCACAGTTGGCCCGCAGCTGTTTGGCATGTCTGCTGCAGAGTTAGATGAGGTTGTACGACCTGTCTCTGTGATGTATGCTAATGATTTTAGAATTGAGCATTCTGGTTATTCCTCTTGTTTGTCTAGCTCAGGTGCTATAGATGTTGCTAGTGCTTTCCCTGCTAGCGTAGCTTGCACAGGTTCGACCACCGAGGCTGAGTCCATATCGTTCACGCTTGACTCTGGGACGTCCGGCTGTTTCTTTCGCGACCGCACCGACCTCACACCGCTTTGCACTCCTGTCTCTGTTGCCCTAGCTGACTCCACAGTGGGACCAGTGGTTGCTCACAGCACCATCACCCTCCCGTGTCCGGCGGCTCCTTCTGGGGTCCTCACGGGTTACTACACTCCCTCGTTCTCCAAGAACTTCGTGGGTGTCAGTCACCTCCACGATCTCGGAGTAGTCATCACTCTCCCTCTAGACGAGCCTGTTGCCTCCTGCACAGTCGTTGTCACTGGGGCGCCTCTGGCCACTTTTCACAGGGAGCTAGGCTCTGGTCGGTACTCACTACACACGGGGTCTCACCACTCAGGTCAGGTCAGGTCAGGTCATGTCTCACGACTGTCGGTCACTCACCCACCCGTCAGTCCTCTGGCACCACCGATTAGGTCACCCGTCCTTCCCGTGTCTCGGTAGTATGGTACGTCACCGTCTGGTCTCAGGTCTCCCAGAGTCGCTCGCCCCGCTTCCCCGCTTCCTTGCGCCGCCGTGCACTCCTTGCGACGAGGGTCGGCAGCGCGCTGCCCCTCACTCCTCCTCGTTCCCCCCCAACACGGCTCCGTTACAGATCCTTGCACATGGACGTCTGGGGCCCCTCCCCATTCCTTGGCCCACGTCAGGAGCGCTTCTTCCTGATTGTGGTGGACGACTACTCCCGCTACACCACGGTGTTTCCCTTGCGATGGAAGGCCGACGTGCCTGACGTCCTAGAGTCATGGCTACTAGCGAGGGGTGGCACCCAGGGCCTTCGTGGACTCCGTCTCCACTCGGACCGTGGTGGTGAGTTTGACTCCACTCGTCTGGCGGCGTTCTTTGGGGCTCAAGGGACCACCGAGTCCTACACGCTACCAGCCTCGCCGCAGCAGAACGGGGTAGATGAGCGACGCATCGGCTTGGTCATGGAGGTTGCCCGAACCTCCATGTGCCATGCCGGTGCCCCCCAGTTCCTGTGGACCCAGGCAGTCCGCTACGCTGCTCAGCAGCTGAACCTGTGGCCTAGTGACGCACGGCCACGGGTTACGCCGATCCTTCTCTGGTCAGGATCTCGAGGTGAGGCAGCTAAGTACCGTGTCTGGGTCTCTCTGGCTCACGTTCCCGCCCCTGGCACGAACAAGCTGTCTCCTCGCACCCGTGCCTGCGTCTTTCTTGGTTTCCCTCTGTACGCCACCGGCTGGGCGTTCTACGACCCGGTGAACTACCAGTTCTTCAGTTCCCAGGACGCCACATTTGACGAGTCAGTCTATTACTACCAGGGTCGCCCCCACCGAGGTACCGAGGCCTTCTCCCTCCCACCCGTGCCCCCCCGAACCGCCCCGGTAGCCCCCCCGCCCCTCGCATCCAGCCCCATCAGGTATGTCGCACGTCACTCCGCTGTCGTCTCCCCCGCAGCGTCCAGCCCTTGTTGTGTCTGGGGGTGCGGGAGGTGCAGCTGTGGAGGGTGAGGGTACTGGGGCTGCTGGAGATGGTGGTGCTGGCTCTGGGGGTGCAGGGGGTGTGGGCGTGGAGGCCACTCCTGTGGAGGATACGGCAACCTGGAGTAGGCGGCCTCGCCCCGCCTCACGCCCTGGCTTCCCGTCTGTCCCGCAGTTCCCTCCTCATTCGTCTTTGCGGCCGGTTGCTGCGGAGGCTGGGGGTGTTCATGCGGGAGGTACAGGAGGCACTGGGGGTGTTGTTGGTGGAGTTTCTGGTTCTGGGGGTGCTGGAGCCGGAGGCGCTGGTACTTCGGCGCCTATACCACACACTGTACGTTTCCTGAACCGTGAGCAGCTACTTCTACGGTTGGAGAGGGAGGAGCAGGAGCGGTTTGAGAGGGCACGGCAGCAGCAGCAGCAGCAGCAGCAGCAATTTCAGTCACAGCATCAGGAGAGAGTAGAGGAGGTCCCACAGCCATAGCAGCATGTGCGGTTAGAGCCACAGCAGGAAAGTGTAGAGGAGGAGTCACGGCTGCAGCAGCAGGTGTAGTTGGTGTCACACCAGGAGAGAGTAGAGGAGGAGTTACGGCCGCAGCAGCAGGTGCAGTTGCAGCCGCTGCAGGAGAGGGCAGAGGAGGAGCCACACTCGGAGCAACAAGAGAAGCAACAGGGGCAGGTTCCGCCGCAGCAGACGCCAGATGAGGCGGAGCAGCAGCGACTGAGAGGCCTGCCCGACCCAGCACCTGCACGCTTGGTCCGTCCCTTACCGTCCCCTCCTGTTCCCCCTATCCAGTCCCTTTTATCGTCCCCGTGGACTCGTCGTGCTCCACTCAGTCGTGCTGTGTCTCCAGAGCCTCGCCGGTCTCGTTACCATGCTGACGACGGTCCTTCCGCAGCCTCCTGAGTTGTCCCTTACTGTGTCTCCTGACCCGTTGTCCGACTACCTCCGTGCCTCCCGTACTGTCGTCTCCTGTGTTTTTTCCTCGTTGGTCACTCATCCGACAGCCCCTCTGTCGTCTGTCTCGGCTCTTGTTGCTGTCTTTGGTGCCTTTGCCTCGTCCCACCACCTTGACTACACCGCCCACCTGGTGAGCAACACTTCTCTTTCTCTGTTCACTAGGGGGGCTCCTGTCTTTCCCTAGAGGTCCTGGAGGACCGGCAGTTCGAGCTTGGTTTCCTTGCGGCCGCTGTTACTCATCTCTGCGCCATGCTGCTTGCCCCTGAGGGGGATCCAGACGCCCTTGACATCCCGATCCCTCGCACTCACGCCGAGGCGGTCTCGGGACCTTACGCTTCGTACTGGATAGCAGCTGAGGAGGCACAGATGGCATCTTATAGATCCATAGGCACCTACTTCGACGCAGTCCCACCACCCGAGGCGAACGTCGTCAGTGGCATGTGGCTCTACAAGGTGAAGCGGCCGCCTGGAGCACCACCGGTGTTCAAGGCGTGCTACGTGGCGAGAGGCTTCAGTCAGCGAGAGGGGGTAAACTTCTTCCAAACCTTCGCTCCCACCCCAAAGATGACTGTCAGATTTATAGTGGGGTAGCACATATGGGGTACAGTTTTCTAGGGTTTGCTTTTGTACCCAACTTTCCCTTAGTCAATTCATTCCTCGTTATTTCACATGGTATAGAGCGGGTTCCCTCGTGGGAACGCTTCCTAGGGCCCACCAATCGAATTTTTTTTTTCCTGCCCGGAGCGCGCTTCGCTCCTGCCCGAGTCGCGCCCCGCGTGCCCTCCCTACCGTCGCGCCCTCTCTAGGCCCCTTACGGCCCCTTCGCGTCGCCCTTAGCGGCCCCTCTGACGGCCCCTCGTGCCGCCATTACGGCCCCTCGCGCCGCCCTTCCGGCCCCTCGCGCCGCCCTTACGGCCCCCTACGGCCCGTAGCCGCCCTTTGCGGCCCCTTGCGTCGCCCTTCACGGCCGTCGCCGCCCTCCGCGGCCACTCGCGGCCCCTTCACGGCCGGGTCGCCGCCCTCCGCGGCCACTCGCGGCCCCTTCACGGCCGGTCGCCGCCCTCCGCGGCCCCTCGCGCCGCCCTTCACGGCCCGTCGCCGCCCTCCGCGGCCACTCCCGGCCCCTTCACGGCCGGTCGCCGCCCTCTGCGGCCCCTCGTGCCGCCCTTCACGGCCCGTCCGCCGCCCTTCGCGGCCTCTCTCGGCCCGCCGTCGCCGCCTCTACAGCAGCAGCAGCTGCAGTCGCTACAGCGACCGCGGCCGCAGTCCCAGCAGCAGCAGCATCTGCCGCCCCTGCAGCAGCACCCGCCGCCACTGCACCCGCGGCCGCCGCCGTCCCTACAGGAGCGGCCGCCGCCGGCCCTGCAGCAGCAACTGCCGAGTTCTGCGCCAAGAACCCCCCCCCCATGTACATCACCCTCTACTACATAGTCACCCGGCTCCCTGACTCCCTTCGCGTAGTCAGGGACCACTTCCTCTCAGTTTGCCCCACCACTCTCACCGTTGACCTCCTCGAGAAGGCCCTCCTAGCAGCAGAGAAGAGCATAGTCGCTGTAGGAGCCTCTCGTGGTGACCCTCGCACCCCCGTCTTTGAGGGGTGTTCCCCCTCCCCCCTTTTGCCCTCTGTTGCCTCTGCTGCTGCGGCCGACCTCGTTGGTTTCGAGTCGGTCGGCGCTGCGTCTGCCCCAAGCGGGAGACGCCGCACCGGCAAGGGCAAGGGGGGCAAGGGTGCTGGAGGGGCTGGCGGGGGTGGCGGAGGTGGCGGTGGCGGCAGTGGAGGGGGTGGGGGTGGTGGTGGGAGTGGTGGCGGGGGTGGAGGTGTCGGTGGCGGCAGTGGAGGCGGAGGCGGCGGCGGCGGTGGCGGTGGGAGCGGAGGTGGCGGAGGTGGCGGCGGTGGAGGAGGCGGCGGCGGAGGAGGTGGAGCTGGTCGGGGTGGCGCTGCACAGAGGGTCGGCTCCGGTGGTGGTCAGCGCCAGCAGCAGCAGCAGCAGCGGCAGCAGCGCACTCGTGACATCCCCCCCCCTCAGCAGCTCCGTGAGTGGTATACTCACGCCAGCGGGGTGGGGGTACTGGTCCGTGCACCTACGTCCTACGCACCGGCGACCGCGCGGGTGAGCAGTGCGGGGGTGCGCACTCCACCCAGCGCTGCTTTGGCCGCCTGACGGACGCTTGGTGACACCAGTTCCCTGAGGCCACTGAGATCCCTCGCTGGGGCGAGCTGTCTAGGGCGGGTGTAGCTGTCTTTGACCTTGACTTTGATGCTATTCTTGCTGCCATGTATGCTGTGACTATTAGTGATGAGGGTGACTGTTACCGGTGTTTTCCGCCCGACCCGGGCATTGAGACTGCTGCTCTAGGTACTGGTGAGGCTGCTGCTCTAGGTGCTAGCGAGGCTGCTACTCTAGGTGCTCGTGCGTCTGCTCCCTCAGGTGCTGGTGAGTCTGCTCTCTCAGGTACTGCGTCGGCTTCGGCCTCCCACACCTTCACCCTTGACTCGGGGGCTTCTTTCGAGACCGCACCACACTCACGCCGCTTGGCCGGCCAGTTGCAGTCTCTCTGGCAGACCCCTCTGGGGGTCCTGTCCTTGCTCACTTCTCCACTGTCCTCCCGTGTCCGGCGGCCCCCTCTGGCACCCTGTCTGGTCTTTACCTCCCCTCGTTCTCTACGAACTTGGTGAGTGGTGCTGACCTACAGGATGCGGGGGTTCACCAGTTCACTCCTGCGAGTCAGCGGGTGACCCACTGCACGGACGCTCAGACAGGCCGACACCTGGCCACGTTTACACGTCGGCCGGGGTCGAGCCTGTACACACTGACCACTGCGTCTCCTCCAGTCACTGCGTCTGGTCAGGTAGCTGCGTCGGGTCAGGTGTTTGCTGCAGCGTCCAGGTCTGGTCCTGAGTCTGCCCCCTGTTCGTGTCGCCTTCTGTCTCACGAGACTCTCCTCTGGCACCACCGCCTTGGTCACCCCTCCCAGCTTCGTCTCCGAGGCATGGCCTCCCGTGTCCTTGTCTCTGGTCTTCCCCGGTCCCTCCCTCCCCTTCCTTTGGGGCCTGGCCCTACCTGCGTCCCCTGTGTCGAGGGGCGGCAGCGGGCTGCCCCTCACTCCTCCCAGTTTCCTCCGACAGAGGCCCCGCTGCAGACGCTTCACATGGACGTGTGGGGCCCGGCCCGCGTCCGTGGACAGGGTCACGAGCGCTACTTCCTGCTGGTGGTTGACGACTACTCGCGTTACACCACAGTCTTCCCCTTGCGCAGCAAGGGTGATGTCACTGAGGTGTTGATCGACTGGATCCGCGCAGCTCGTCTCCAGCTCAGGCAGAGCTTCGGCTCGGACTTTCCTGTTCAGCGTCTGCACTCTGACAGAGGTGGAGAGTTCTCCTCTGGCCTTCTGCGAGCCTACTGTCGTGCACGAGGCATCCGCCAGACCTTCACGCTTCCGGACTCTCCACAGCAAAATGGGATTGCTGAGCGCCGCATTGGCATGGTCATGGACGTCGCCCGTACGTCCATGATGCATGCGGCTGCCCCCCATTTTCTGTGGCCGTTTGCGGTTCGGTACGCGGCGCATCAGATCAACCTTCACCCCAGGGTCTCCATGCCGGAGACCTCCCCAGCTTTGCTGTGGACGGGGAAGGTTGGCGATGCGTCTGCGTTCCGTGTCTGGGGATCTCGGGCGTTTGTCCGCGACTTGTCTGCGGACAAGCTGTCCCCTCGTGCTGCTCCTTGCGTCTTCCTTGGCTTCCCCCCTGACGCGCCAGGGTGGCAGTTCTACCACCCCACCTCTCGCCGTGTCCTGTCCTCCCAGGACGTCACGTTTGACGAGTCGGTCCCCTACTACCGCCTCTTCCCCTACCGCACTCCGTCCCTCCCCCCGCCACCGCTCTTCCTTGTCCCAGGTCCCCCCCCGGTAGACCCCCTCCCCCCTCAGGGTCCTGCCCCTTCAGGTGTGTCCCAGGTAGACGCAGTCGAGCCTGTCGAGGTTACTGGTGACTCTGGTGCTGCTGAGGGTGCTGAGCCTGGGGGTGCTGACTCTGGGGGTGCTGAGCGTGTGGGTGCTACGTCTGGGGGTGCTGAGCCTGGGGGTGCTGAGCCTGGGAGTGCTACGCCTGGGGGTGCTACGCCTGGAGGTGCTGAGCCTGGGGGTGCGGAGCCTGAGGGAGCTGGGCCTGCTCGTGTGGCGTCTGGCGGTGCTGAGCCTGGAGGTTCTCCGGGTGCTTCGTCTCGGCGGGAGCCACTCTCTCCACAGGAGCTGCGCGAGTGGTTTGCCCGGCGCTGGAGGCGTGCTGCTGGAGCTGGAGGTTCTTCGGCTGCTGAGGGTGCTGGTGCCGCGGGTCCCGGAGGTGCTCGTACTGGGAGTACTGGAGCTGCTGGGCCTGCGGGTACGACTGGAGCTGGAGCTGCTGAGGGTGTTGGCGCTGAGGCTACTGCTGTCGGTCCTGGAGGCGGTCCTGCTGGGGGTGCTACTGGTGCTGCTGGAGGTACTGGAGCTGGAGGTGCTGCTGGCGCTGGTGCTGCCGCTGGGGGTACTGGTGCTGTCCCTGCTGTGTCTGGAGTCGCCGCGCGGCCTCGGCCGTACTTCGTTCCGCTCCTTCAGCAGGTTCTTGGTCTCCCGCCTTCTACTGGTCCTCCTCCTCCCTTAGCGTGTCCACAGCCTGTCCCGTCACAGTTACAGTTACAGCCGGCCTCCCCACTGCCCGCTCCTTCTCCCTACACTGGTCCTACTGGAGGTCTTGCTGAGCGTCGTGAGCCTGCGTCTCGCCCTGCGTCGCCTGTCCGTGCTGCTCGCACTAGTGCTCGTGGTTCGCGTCAGCGTCCTCCTCCTGTCCCTGGCACGCACCGGATGTCTCTGCGTCCGTCCACTGCTCCTCTGCGTGCCCCTTTGCCTTCTCCTCCTGAGTCCTCTCTTCCTGCTCTTCCTGACCCGGAGTCGGACTCTCTTCGTGCTGCCAGTCCTACTGTCACGCGTCTCCTTGCTACTGTTGTCACTGACCCTTCCTTTGAGTCCACTGCTGCGTCTGCCCTAGTTACTGAGCTCGTCGACTTTGCTGCTCGCTGTCGTCTAGACTACGCTGCTAGTCTTGTTGCTGAGTCTGAGTCTGTCTGTCCTCCGTCCGTCGGGGGTGAGTGTGCCCTTGGCACGGACGTCCTTGAGGACAGGCAGGAGGAGTTCCAGTGTTTGGCTGCTGCTTCACCTCATCTCGTGTCCGTACTGCTTACCCCTGAGGGAGACCCGGATGCACTTGACATCCCGACTCCGCGCTCTTACGCGGAGGCGATAGAGGGTCCCTACTCCTCTCAGTGGCAGGCAGCTATGGACGCAGAGATGGCTTCCTGGAAGTCCACAGGCACCTACGTTGACGAGGTTCCCCCGCCTGGGGCGAACATCGTCAGTGGCATGTGGATTTTCAGGGTGAAGCGGCCGCCGGGTTCTCCGCCTGTCTTCAAGGCGCGTTACGTGGCTCGTGGCTTCAGTCAGCGGCAGGGAGTTGACTACTTTCAGACCTTCTCTCCCACCCCGAAGATGACCACTCTTCGGGTACTGCTGCACATAGCTGCTCACCGCGACTACGAGCCGCACTCTCTTGACTTCAGCACTGCTTTCTTGCAGGGCAGCCTGCACGAGGAGATCTGGCTGCGTCGCCCACCTGGCTTCACTGGGTCTTTTCCTCCTGGCACCCAGTGGAGCCTCCGGCGGCCAGTCTACGGTCTCCGCCAGGCACCGCGTGAGTGGCACGACACACTGAGGACTACACTTGCGGCTCTTGGGTTTGCTCCCTCTACTGCCGACCCGTCGCTGTTTCTGCGCACCGACACTTCTTTGCAGCCGTTCTACATCCTCGTGTACGTCGACGACTTGGTCTTTGCCACAGCTGACACTGCTGGACTCGCCCACGTGAAGTCCGAGCTGCAGAAGAGACACACGTGCACAGACCTGGGTGAACTGCGCAGCTACCTTGGCTTGCAGATCACCCGGGACAGAGCACGCCGCACCATTACCCTGACTCAGTCACACATGGTGCAGCAGGTCCTTCAGCGCTTCGGCTTCACGTACTCCTCGCCTCAGGCCACTCCTCTGCCTACTCGCCACTCGCTCTCAGCTCTGCCTTCGGATGAGTCCGTAGAGTCGAGTGGCCCGTACCCAGAGCTTGTTGGCTGCCTCATGTACCTGATGACCTGCACACGACCTGACCTTGCATACCCTCTTAGCATTCTTGCACGCTATGTTGCTCCTGGGAGACACAGACCGGAGCACATGGCTGCAGCGAAGAGGGTGTTGCGCTACTTGTGCAGTACGTCGGGCATGGGGCTTGTGCTTGGAGGGCAGAGTCCAGTGGTCCTCACTGGACACGCAGACGCTTCTTGGGCTGACGACCAGGCTACGCAGCGGTCGTCACAGGGTTACACCTTCAGCCCTGGTTCCGGCTCTGTTTCGTGGCGGGCTACTCGCTCGTCTTCTGTTCTCGGCTCTAGTTGTGAGGCTGAGATCTACGCCGGGGCCATGGCTGCACAGGAGCTTCGCTGGCTCACCTACCTGCTGACTGACCTCGGAGAGCCGCCTCGTTCTCCTCCAGTGCTCTACGTAGACAACAAGGCCATGCTGGCCTTGTGTCGAGAGCAGAGACTGGAGCACAGAACGAAGCACATTGCTCTTCGCTACTTCCTTGCTCGTGAGCTACAGCAGCGTGGTCAGCTGCGACTTGCGTACGTGGCCTCTGAGGCCAACACTGCTGATATCTTCACCAAGGCACTTGCGCCTTGTGATCATCAGCGCTTCTGTACTCAGCTGGGTCTTGTACCTACCTTGCCTCACTTGCTCACCTCTTGACCTTGTTTGTACTGTTGCATATATATATACTCCTGCTCTTGCTTGTCTAGCCTTATATATATATGCAATCCTGCATGTGAACTGGCCTTGTGGCCTTGAACTTGTGCTCGGAATGTGTGGTGACTTTGTGATCCACCCTGAGCTTGCTTTGCTTTGCTTGACTGGTCTTGTGACCCCTTGTTCTCCCCCACTTTGCCTATGGGGGTGTGTCAGATTTATATGACATAGCTACTGTAGGCTATAGTGGGGTAGCACATATGGGGTACAGTTTTCTAGGGTTTGCTTTTGTACCCAACTTTCCCTTAGTCAATTCATTCCTCGTAATTTCACAATGACCACTCTTCAGGTGTTACTGCATATTGCAGCCCAGCGCGACCACGAGTTGCACTACTTGGACTTCTCCACAGCATTCCTTTAGGGGAGCCTGCACGAGCAGATCGGGCTGCGTCGTCCGCCTGGCTTCACAAGCTCTATTCCTGCTGGGATCCAGTGGCAGCTGCATCGACCAGTCTACGGCCTGCGCCAGGCTCCCCGCGAGTGGCACGACACTCTTCGCACGACTCTTGTAGCGCTTGACTTCTTTCCGTCGTCTGCCGACCCGTCACTGTTCGTCCGCCGTGGCTCG